TGAATTTAAAATTTCAAAATGCAGATATTTTATTTTTAAATTCAAGTTCAAATTTTAAAAATATTTTGTCGTCCTTAAAAAGTAAACTTTTCTCTTACAACTTTTTCTTTAAAAAATTTGTCTTTTTATCTGTGCTCCATAATTTAAATCCATTGTAATGTTTGACAATCATTTTAAAAAGTGGAAAGCAAAATCAGTTTTAATAATTCATTTATAAATCAATCTTTCTTCTTTTTTTCTAAATATTAGGTGAGATCAGACATCAGTTCGTAAAAGAACGAAACACTGTTTATAAGAGTGTGAAAGCTTTTCCGTAGTACATGCATCTTAAAAACCTTGAGGGTAAGCCCAAAAGAGAAAGTTTAAAGAAGAAAATATCTGATAGTGATGGAATTGGGCCGTTACAAATGGTATCAGAGTTAGATTAGGTAGACTAGCCTACATCTAAGAACGTTGCACGGTCCCAACGTCAATGTCCCATCACTGTCAGGTACGCCTTGCATAAGATAAGAAAAGAGAAGCTTTTAGTGAAATTATTGTGTTATTACGTGTATTATTTAATGAGTATGATGTGATGTATAGCATGTTGAGTATTTATGATGTGATGTTGGTATATGTATTTTTTTTTTTTTTTTAATATACATGCATAGTAATAAAGTCTTAGACTTAAGTAACCTTGTCTTAGTTTCTAGAACTATGTTATCTAGAGAACATTGAAGAGGAAGACGAGGAAGGAGCCCGTCACCGTCAGGTACGCCTTGCATAAAATAAGAAAAGAGAAGCGTTTTCAAACTCGCATGCATTTTCTGTTAATATTACTGAAATTATTGTGGTATTTCATGTATTATTTGACGAGTATGATGTGATGTATAGCATGTTGAGTGTTTTATTTCTTTGGCACTATGATGTGAATACATGTATTTTTTTTTAATATACATGCATATTAATAAAGCCTTAGACTTAACTAACCTTATCTTGGTTTATAGAACCATGCCACCTAGAGACCGTTGAAGAGGAAGACGAGGAAGGGGACGACCCCCTCTTAGTGAAAGAAGACGAGGTGTGGCAAAAGAGAGCCCACCTCGAGAAGGATCAGAGATTGGGTTGGTCTACACCACTACCAAAGTCGTACCACAAGTTGCGCTGCCACCTCTTGCACCACCACTAGTCACGCCACAACCTGTTGTACTGCCTAGAGCAGTAGAGCAGATAGATCAACTAGCGCAACCGCGAGCTCAAGCTAAGGCTTACACTTCCATTAGCAAGGATAATGGGAAGTTTGATGCCATGGTGACAAGTACACTATCTGTTTTAGGTCATGTTGCTTTTACCTCATTCGATTATGGTTCTACACATTCCTTTATTTCTATGCCTTTTGTTGTACAAGCAGGGTTCGAATTAGAACCCTTATTGCATGAAATGTCTGTAAATCACCCTTGCAGGGTAGACTTAGTAGCTAGAGATAGAGTAAAGAATGGCCAAGTAATCGTGGGGTACCAAATTCTAAGCGTAGACCTGATAGTGGTAAACATGACAAACTTTGACGTCATACTAGGCATGAATGGCTAGCTGAAAACCGTGCCAATATAGACTGTCACAAAAAAGGAAGTAAAATTTTCACCACTGGTGGTACCTACCTTCAAATTTAAAGGAACAAGTACCAAGGCTACTCCAAAGGTAGTCTTGATGATGAAAGCAAAGAGACTAGTCAAGGCAGATGAGCTATATTAGCATGTGTCATAGATGTAAGAGAAAAAAAGATCCTAGAAAACGTACCCATAGTAATGAGTTCTCAGATATATTTCTGGAAGACGTACCTGAAATACCCCATTCTCGAGCGGTTGACTACATTATCGAACTCGAGCTGGGAATTGGGCCTATCTCCAAAGCACCTTATCGTATGGCGCCAGCGAAGTTGAAGGAACTCAAGGCACTATTACAAGACTTTCTAGATAAAGGTTTCATTCGACCTAGCGTATCCCCATGGGGTGCGCTAGTGTTGTTTGTTAAAAAGAAAGACAGATTGATGTGACTATACATCAATTACAGAGAGCTAAACAAGAGAACCATAAAGAACAAATATCCTCTGCTAGAATAGAGACCTATTCAATCAACTCAGAGAGGCAACAATATTTTCTAAGATAGACCTTCGGTCTGGTTATCACCAAACTAAGATCAACGAAAAAGACTTACCAAAGATGGCGTTTAGGACAAGATACAGTCACTATGAGTTCGTAGTAATGTTATTTGGCCTCACCAATGCCCCAACTGTGTTTAGGAGTTAATGAACCGAGTATTCAAGAACTATCTAGACACATTTGTGATTTTGTTCCTTGACTACATGCTAGTGTACTTGAAAACAGACAGAAAACACCAAGAACACCTCCGAAAAGTTAACCACCCTAATAGAGAACAAGTTGTATGCCAAGTTCTCAAAGTGCGAATTTTGGTTACGACAAGTCGCTTTCTTAGGACACATGGTGTCAAAAGACAGTATATCCGTAGATCCCACGAAGATCGAAGCAGTCATTAAGTGGGAACAACCAACTACAGTAACAGAAGTACGAAGTTTCCTAGGATTGGCGAGATACTTTTGAAGGTTTGTGTAGGATTTTGCTAGGATAGCCTCGCCTTTAACAAAGCTAACGAGAAAGGGGGTACCATTTACATGGAACGATGCTTGTGAGGCAAGCTTACAGAACCTAAAAGAAAGATTGCTAACCGCACTAGTACCGAGAGTTCAGAAGGCTACATGAACTATAATGTTGCATCCAAGAAGGGATTGAGATGTGTGTTAATGCAACACGGAAAAGTCGATGCATATGCGTCCTGTCAACTAAAGAAATACGAAAAGAACTACTCTACCCACGACTTAGAGTTGGCCGTCGTAGTGTTTGCGCTAAAAATTTGGTGACATTAATTGTATGGAGAGAAATCCCAAATTTTTCCGACCCAAGAGTTTAAAATATTTCTTCACTCATAAAGAGTTAAACATTAGACAAAAGAGGTGGCTAGAATTGGTGAAGGATTATGATGTAGATATCCAGTACCACACTGGATAAACAAATGTGGTCGCATATGCCTAAGTAGAAAGACGACCCACTTGTCGGTCCTCATTACGAGGGAAGTAAGCGTACAAAGAGATTTCGAGCGAGCCAATATAGCTGTAGCGGCCGAGGGAGCCATAGCACAATTGGCTTGACTCATAGTACAACCTACGCTTAGGCAGAGAATTATTACCTCCCAACAAAATCCTAAGCCAGTTCGCTGAGAGTCCAGGTGACGAATTCTTGAAGTCCTTAGATGAAGGACTATTGTATCAGGGATGCCTGTGTCTCTCGACAATAGAGAAGCTAAAGAAAGAGATACTGACGGAAGCGCACAACTCGTCATTTGCCATGCACCCAAAAGGTAATAAGATGTACCAAGATTTAAAACATCACTTCTGGTGGAGGAGCATGAGGAGAGACATTGTCGAGTTTGTGAGCAAGTGCTTAGTTTTTCAATAAGTGAAAGCTCCTAGACAAAAGACAGCAGGGATGTTACAACCCCTCGGCAGGGAGGGAGGGAGGGAGGGAGAGAGAGAGGGAGAGAGAGCGAGAGTATGATGATGTATGAGTATGATGTTTGAGCTATGATGCATGTTATATGTACATGATTTATGTTCCGATGCATGACGAACACGATATGTTTGATGCATTTGATGGCATTATGATGAGTATGATGATTGCATGATGTTTATCTTAATATGTTGATGTTTTCCATGTTAAGTATATTTTATGATGATGAGTGCCATATTGCATCATGTCGATAGACCGACATAGGACACAACCTTAAGAGCATGAGAATGATATTAATATAAATATTAACGAGTATGTGTTAGTGTAACAAATAGATGAGACTAGATGGTTGTGTCAGAAGAAATAATACGATGGAAATTAGAGGGATCTCATACATGTTATATGTTCATAAGCATAGGGATACTTCCTCAAAGACGATGAGTGCGGACACGCACAATATGATGATGAGTGTGTTCATGGGGAGCATGACACCAAGGGGTTCAGCTAACCTCCAGACGTTGTTACAGATTAGCTTGACCGAAGATGGTCCAAGGGGTGTGCAAGCCCCCTGAGGATTCACACTCGACGTGTGGGTCATGAGTAGGGAAGTACTACACATCCAAATTAGTCCGAAATTGGAGACCACCCCTAGAAAATAAAGATAGGTCCCAAAAGCATGATTGCATGTGTTTGCATTAACATGGCCCCTATAGTGGAGTCACTTACCGAGTATTCTTCGATACTCAAGATATGTGTCATATCATTTTTTCAGGTAAAGACAAAACGCTCATGTACGGATGAAAGCGGCATCACAAATAGAGACTGTGACATGTGCATAGGATAGTCACATATTTAATTTCCTAATCTTAGGTTAGAATAGGAGACTAGAATTTCATTATTTAAATTATTTTATTTTAGAATTATTTTTATTATTTTAAATTCCAGCGTTTTTGTTTGAAACACGTAAGACCGACAATGTTTTCTAGAAATTTAAGGCTGTTCTGAATGTTTTCAAAGTATATGTTATAAATGAGATTCATTTAAGAGTTATATTTTCCCATTGTCTTTAGTAAGTCTAATTTATTTTTTAATTAGATATATTATAGGGGTATAATTAATTGATTCAAATTATAATTATAATTAATAATAATAAACTATAATTAATAAAAAAAAAATAAGTATTTCATTGTAATAATTATTTTATATATACATTTTAAATTATTTTATTATTTTAATAAATTATTAATATTGTTTAAAATTTATAATTATATTTCATTTATATAATTTACTCCACTATATTACAACATTCAATTTTATAAATATAAGTTTTTATCCACATATTATAGTCTCTAAATTTTCATCCATTTAAGCCCTTCGAGTTGTCGATAAGGACCGAATGACCTAATTATTTAGGAGCCGAAACGAAGGGGTTAAAAGGCGAAAGTAATGAAAGAATTTTTTTTGGATGTAAAGGGAAGAGAGAGTGAGTCATACATTTAAGCCATCAAAACCACATTGCTTGTATGTGAGAGACTGCTTCCTTGGACTAATCACAATTGCACAATCCACCGATACCTAAACCAAAGATTCATCCATAAGTCATTCAAATTGATCTGATTGACTCGATTAAAAAAAATGTCATCTCGCGATTTTCAATCAAAAAATAAATAAATCTAATACAGCTCAATTTTTATAGTTTGAGTGGGTTAGTCTGAATTGATCATATTTTTTAAACTCATAGCTTGTATACGGTTAGATAATACTTTCAATCTCACTTCTGTTGCTCGTTCTTTACACAAATCCTTTTCATGGTTTGTATTACCCTATAATACAATCATACATCAAAGGGGTTTTGTTAAAATGAGTTTAGCTCAATCGTAATTGGGTTTTCGTTACAATGAGTTTAGCTCGATCGAAATTGGTTTTTCGTTACAATGAGTTTAGCTCGATCGAAATTGAGTTTTCGTTCCAATGAGTTTAGCTCGATCGAAATTGGGTTTTCGTTCCAATGAGTTTAGCTAGATCGAAATTGGGTTTTAGTACAACTATCTATATCTAAATCTTTTCTAATCATGCATAATGTGGCCTTGAGGATTTAGAAATGTGGGGAAAAGAGCATTAAAATGGGGGACAAATGGCAGAGACAATAGGGCAGGGAAGGACAGGACAGGACAGGGGCAGAGCATTAGAAGGATGAAATTACAAGGATGTCCTTAGAGAGATTAGTGTTACCTGAACGCCGGGGGAATCAAAGGACAAGAGGCGGATCTTAGCGGCAACGTCGCCGAGAATCCTCAGCTCCACACGGTCGTTTAACGAGGCGTCACGGATCAAATCAGCGGCGTCGGCTTGGAGGAGGCTGACACGATCGACGGCGATGGTGGCGTCGACCTGGCGTTGGCTATGGGGGTCTTGAAAGAATCCGGGAATTGAGGCTCTCCCAAGTGGAATCCCTCGGTACATGACCGTGAACCGAGACTCCCCGTACTTGATTCCCACTTTGTTGGGGTTAACGGCGGTGAAAATCATTCGAATGTTGAGGGAAAGGGAGGCGGCGGTGGGATTGGGAGTGGTTATGTTCATGTACTGGATGCCCACCTGCTGGAGATCGAATTGGGGCTTCTTTGGCTTTAGGGCGAGGACGACAACGAGGACGACGGCGAGGATTAAGAGAGCTAGGAAGGAGAAAAGGAGGAACAGGCAGCAGCAGCAGCCCTTGAAGGAGGCGGAGGAGGAGGATCTGGGGATGTACGGAGGGCGGCTGTGGGTGGCGCCTCTTGATGACGGCATGTCTTTTCGGGTTTCAACTTCAACGGGTTGTGCAGCAACACTCCAAATTGTGGACTCAATATTTGTACGATGAAGTTTCTTTCATAGTTACTATTTTATTTCAAAAATACCTTTTAACTTTTCATATTTTAAAAATATTTAAAGTTTTAAAAAGTTTTATTAATATCTATAGACCTTCTAAAAAAAATTTAAATATGCACTTTCGATCGTATTATGTTTAAAAAATATTCTTGAATTTTAAAACTACCGTTAACACCATTCACCTTATTAAAAATTTCAAAAAATTTGTTATAGTCAATATATTAGATAAAAATAGTCTATCAACACCTCCTAGATTATCTCCAAACTTTTTGATGGATGTTACTCTTGAAAATTTATGAATATTTTTTAAACGTGGTACTAACGGTAATAGTATGTTACAATGACCTTTTTGAAACAATTTAAACGTTGAAAGGTACTTTGAAACCCTCTTGAAAGTTGAATAGTATTTTTTAAACAAAATATAACCGTTTTCATCTAAAATTAATGACAAGGTTTCCTCTAAATATTGCTTTGGCCCGTTACATATCGTTGTCAGCTTTACGGTTTTAAAACGCGTCTACTAAAGATAGATTTCCACACATTTATAAGAAATGTTTCGTTTCATTCTCCAACCGATGCGGGATCTAACAATAATAGTTATACTTGTTGAAAACTAGAATTGAAATACAATACATATATCATAAATTGTCATTAATAGACATTGATTCGAAAGCACTAGGAAAAATTCTTGTCGAAATCCCAAAGGTAGCTGTCTCCAACGTAGATAATGTTCGTAGCTAAATTCTCATTAGCAGAATTACAATAAGTTTCAAGAGACGAAGTTGATTGGTTATTCAAAATGACAACCCTCCAACAATAACATGGCTTAACTTTTTTTTTTACCCAAAATATTTATTGCAATCCATAAGTGTTTATATTTTAAATGGATTGAATTCAGTTTCATATAATTATGTTCACATGTTCTCAATCGGTATTATTACTCGAGCAAATTAAAGAACAAAGTATAATAGGTAACACCAGTAACATATATTGTTGTCTTTGGGCTTTCCCTTCCCAGCCTCTCTCAAGATTTTTAAAAGACATCTACTAGGGAGAGATTTCTACACCCTTATAAAGAATGGTTTGTTATTCTCCCCAACCGATGTGAATCTCGGAATCCACCTCCCTTCGAGTCCAAGTATCCTCGTTGGCACTAATTCCCTTCTCCAATTGATGTGGGGCCTAACGTTCTCACTGGCATACCACCTGGTGTCTAGCTCTGATACCATTTCTAACAACCCAAGCCCACCGTTAGCAAATATTGTTCTCTTTAGGCTTTCCAGGACTTTCTCTCAAGGTTTTTAAAATGCGTATACTAAGGAGAGGTTTTCACACCCTTACAAAGAATGCTACATTCTCCTCCCCAACCGATGTAGGATCTCATAGTTCACAACTCACCTAAGATTGAAATCAAGTCACATATGATTATCAAAAGAAATATTAACCTTCTCTATTGATGAATTTGTAAAGATAGATCAAATATTTCGTGGTCCAATTTGATACAAATCATTGTATAGGACATCTTCACTTACGTGCCTCCACATGAACAATTTAGTATGAATATATATGCTCTAGGCTTCACACGTTCCAAGCAGCGTAGTCTGAGTCATAAACATGTTGCACCGTGGGAGATCTTAAGAGTTTCTTGAGTTTTTGTGTCTAAGTACCTTGGTCCCTTATCCTTGAGTGGTACCTAGCATTCTTCTTACCTTGGTAGTTGTAGAGCTTGTGAGTATTGTCGTTAGTTATCAATCTTTGTAAGTTTCTAAATTTTATAATTCCTTGATACAATAAGTTGAAACATACATTCATAAACATATGAACCTATCATAATAACAAGCCTTAGTTATTCTAGAAAGGCCTAGAGTCATAATAAATTTATTAGAGGGTTCTAGAAGAGTCTTGAGGTGTTACTTGAGTCCTAACTTGATTCAGGTTTCAAACTTAATCTAATCTTTTCATGTCCTTAAGAATAGGCCTCATAGAAAGTAGTAGGTTATTTGGAGCACGTATAGACCTTCAAATATCATAAGTAGTCGTATGGGCTTTTTGCTCATTTTACTCATAATTCTTGAGTTTTATACTTAACGTGTTCCAATGGCTTTCAAACTTCAAAATATCATCAAACATCATAATATAAGATCTATTACAAAGTTTCATAGCATTCAGAAGTCATCTAGGTCATGAACTGAAGGTAAATTACCTTAGGGGCATTATGGTCATTTGACATCATTACTTGGTTTAGCTAATTATCCTTATCGAACGACCACCAAATTTCATATATAATCTTAACATGCCATAATATACTCATTATTGAAAATTCATAGGTAGCGAAGTTCATTTAATGGGTTATTTTAATGTTATTTAAATTTTAAGCAATTTAATCGATTTAGGGTATTAACTCTCAGTTCTTGGTGTTTTTCTCTCATATAAAAATTTAAGCGATTCCTACAAGTATCTCTTAAGAAAAGTCTAAGATGGCAATTTACCTTGTAGGTGACGTTCGGGACCTCCGTTCGCGAGCTTCTAGTATCCGAATTACCTCAAATTTTCTTACACAGATTTCTTATTGTGCTAGTTTCTGGAACCATAAAAAAACATTTAATGAGAACCAATCTAGAAGAGGGTTAAAGTTCAAAAAAACCAAGGAAAGCTCGATTCAACTCGATTCTTGTTCCATACTATTGCTCTAACTTCAGACTTTATAGGGGAAGCATACACCGACATTGAAACCTCCAGAATTTTCGTGTTTTGGAGATTGAATTTTCTAGATAATCCATTGAAAATATCCTCTTTGATCAACGAACTACCAGCTTTCAATTTGAATTCTCACCGTTAGGTGTGGTGATCTATGAACGTTCTAGATTGTGCCCAATTTTAGAGGAGATCGAGTGACTGGTTTTCTAGATTCGATAGATTTTGTGCCTTAGGTCATTGTGGAGGTTCTGATTCTTGGGAGAAGATCATCTTTCCCTTGAGCATTTGAAATTCCTTCTAGACAAGCAATTAAAAATTGGAAAGTTCCTACCCAATTGAAAAAATGACAATTTTGTCGTTTAAGCTCAATCTTTCCTTTCCTTTCCATTTCTTTTCCAAAATACCTTGTCCATAAAATTACTTGTTAGGATATAGAAGTAATTTTCTTAAGATCCTTGTCCTTACTTGAATCCCTCAAGTTTCTTTCCTTGGAGTCCTATACGGGCTAATTATTCTTAATTTTATAAATGTCTAGGGTTCTTAATTTCTTGTGGCATAGGTCATAGCATACATTCTTAAGCTCTTCTTAAATCTTATAAATTATGAACCCATCGGTAACATGTATGAGTCATAAAAAATAACATGAAGTCATAATTCTAGAAGGGTCTTGGATCTTGAATAAGGATCAAGGTTTTCTTAGACCCTAACTTAGTTTAGGTCCAAATTTTCTTTGAATAACTTAAAATCTTGAATATATCTTTATGTTCTTATATTTAGACCTTACCAAAAGTATTGAGTCGTTTAGAGGATGTTTAGACCTTGAAATATCTTAAAGAGTCTTGGGGACATTTTGGTCATTTTACATCCTAATTCTGTGTTTTTCTAAACGTATCTCAATAACTTTAAAAATTTACAAACTCATTACTCATTGTGAAATAAGGTCTACTATAAAGTTACATGGTATTTTGAGGTCATTTAGGTCTCAAACCAAAGATAACCGTCGTAGGGGCATTTTGGTCATTTTGCATCCTAAACTTGGTTCAAGCCATAAACATAATCTAATGATTCTAAAACCTAACAAAATCCTTAGAAATCATGGAATAAGGTATCTCATAAAGTTTGATAATATTTGGTGGTCATTTGGATTATGAACCGAAGGTAAGTTACCTTAAGGGCATTATGGTCATTTTAGATCATTACTTGGTTTAGCTACTTAACCTTGTCTAACAACTACTAATTTTCAGATGTAATCTTAACATTCTATAATGTTAGCATTAAAATTTTTTAACTCGAGTGATACTCTTCCAAAGTTTGTCGAAAAACATGTTCTTGTTCCGAATAACCTAGAAAACTTTTTGTTGGTTGGGATGTTCTAAAATTTATCAATCTCCGACTCCTTCATGAAACTTATTTGAAGTCCCATATGGAATGTGTAGGAGTTCGTAGGAGGGAAAATGAGGAGTTGGTAAGAGGAAAAATGATTAACCATAGCCCTCAAATTTCGAAGAAACTCGAGAAAGAAAAACTCATAATCTAAAAGCTTCAAACTCGAGTTTTAGGAATTCTCATTACTCGATCTTGTCATAAAACATTGCATAGAATTTCTTATTTATTGATGAAGCTTACTCCGCCATTAATTGTTTCATAATGGCGTTGAATTTTCTCTTTTTTATTTTAAACTTTTCTAGAATACTCATCAGAAATATCTACTTCGACGAGGGTGCTGCCGACATTCATTTTGCATTTCAACCATTGAATCTAAAGATCATCAAGTCTTCTTGGACATACAAAAATTTAAGTTCAATCCAATGAATTCAATGGTTGGATGTGAAGATATAGATGATTTTATGCTACTTAACGGTTCTGGAAAGATTCTAAGGTCAAGTTAAATAAGAGTCCAACCATGCTCGGAACTAGAAAGAGTCTAAGGTCATGTTATGGTTTTAAATGATAGGTCTCGTTTATGTTATGTGTGAGATTGCATTACTAACCCCAACAGTGGAGTGACTTATCTTATTTCTTAAAATACTCAAGTCACATATTACCCTTATATTTTAAGGTGAAGGTGAAGCACTCCTACCCAGACCAGATGATAATGAATGTTGGAATGGCCATAGAAACCAAGAAAAAAACTAACCGTAGATGTCGGAAGCCTCTCTCCTTTTATCAGAGCCAAGTTTAGATCTTGGGACCGATGGGTTATGGGCCTACTACGTTTTTGATGCACCACTCTGATATGTTTAATTTAGTTTTATTATTTATTTTCCAAATAT